ATTTCTTGGGTGCTATACCACGTTCCATTCGCCATACGGCGCCCCGACCAAGGTTTTATTAATCAACCCTGAACGGCCAAGTGGCCACCTTGCCGGCATGGCGCTCTGTAATGCCTCTTTAGGTAATCCTCATCACATTGGGGACTGTGCCTTCCCCCCCAAAGCACTAATCATCCATGGCGACGGCAGTGCAAAAGCCGGGACATGATCCACCACAATCCGCTCCGCGGGCAGATCAAGGATGGCTTCGGCGACGTTAGTTAGAGATCAGAGAGCCCGCCACCGCCAATTGACAAAGATCATTGGGCAGAGTGCGAGGTGACCGACTGAGACTGCATAGTGCCAGATGTTTGATGACGAATTCGTGACACACTGGTCGGGACCGGTGACAGAACTGCCGAAAGGATCATAATACCTTGCTAGAATGAATTAGCTAGCAAGATGAGAAAAAAGTGTCCGAGCTTGTCGGCCACGGTGGAAATACGCACCCGAATGATTGACATCGGGCACGTTTGCGTCTTCGTCCCTTCTCATCTCCTACTGGCTAGTGAGAGTTCAACGGGGAGGAGACGGTTCGTGTTTTGGGGGTGGTAGCTAATGCTTAACGGGCCATGGAACTTTTTGTTAGGGCTCTCATCATCGGACGTCACGGGGAGACGTTTTTCGACGGACTGCCGAAAGCCGTAGTAGGGAAGCTAAAAAAAAATAAGATCTATTGTCAACGGCTCGTTGTTGACAGCTCTGTTGGTGCAAGTTCACGCCCTACAGGGCAGAGAGCGTGCCGGTGACCAATCAGCAGCTCCCACCTGGTGGTAAACAAGGTTCGGCTACTCTAAACGTACGTAATATGCGAGTCCGATGCGATGAGGTTGGGTGCGAGATAGGCCTGCTCTGAATCTAGGAGATTGATAGGTTCCTAGACGCCGGGAGCATTCATGTAAGTCCTTGCGAGATATGGATCAGCGAGGGGCCGGTAGGCTGCAGGCATGATGGGAGGAGGGAGGGGTCCCAGCACGATGGCAAGTCCACCGTTTACGATGGTGGTGGCATGATGCCGGTCATGTACGCTAGGACAGTCTACGAGGAGGCGGCACAGCTCCAAAGAGCATGGTAGCGTGGCAGTGTGTGAGAGTGATTGACAAAGCCATATCGCGAGTTCCTTGAATGGGCGGTGGGTGGGAGGTTCAAACGGCAGGTGCGGGCAGGGAGCAAAGGGGCGTGTGTGTCGACCCTTGACGCATAACGTGGCGGACGGCCTCGTGGCTGGGCTGTCGGGGGAGGGGTCAGGGTGAGTGAATCTTCCATCCCATCTGCGATTTCTTCGCAGAACCCTTGGCGAGGTTAATTAAAAAAAGAAGAGAAAGGAAAGCAGGCGGAAGGCCCAAGTGCAACGTTTGCGCCCTGAAAATGGAGTCGATGTGGGTTCAACTTTCAGGTTCGCAACTTGTATCCCTATTGCGACAGGCGCACCACAGGGGCGACGACGGGTAAAATGGGAGGACCAGTACCTAGGCCTCTGGCTGGACGTCGAGTGTCAAGGTCGAGGGGCTAGGGGTGGGACCCTGCTGGCGGTCGCAGCACGGTGCCAGCCAGCCAGAGGGCGAGCAGGCAAGGCATCAGGGGCGGGGACTTTGGCTGTGCTCCGTAGGCAATTTCCCAGGGGCTCGGAGGGTCGATTTTGACGTCCATATGACACTGCCGGCAAGCAGCGTTCCAGCCATTTCTGTAAGGCTGAGGGGCACCTCTCGGGGTTCTGTGGGGAGGGCCGTCCGCGGTCGGGTCCCCTTGGGCGGCCCTGATTGGCTGGGCGGGTTTGCTGAAGGATCTCTTGTTTGATGAACTGGCACCTTGGCGCAGGTTTTTGGGTGGTGTTTCATGTTTGGATCGCAGGTTGCGTAATGGCATTGAAGGCTAAATGGACGCTTTGGGAAGGGGCACCGACGCAGCCATCTTGGAGAGTCTCACGCATTGGGGTGGGAACGGACATCGAGCCTAGAACGAGATAGCTGCACTTTCGTTTTGACCTATCTCGACGCCAACTATAGTTGAAGACAATGTCATTGACAGCATTTGTGTTGGTGACCACATATGTACGTTCAGTATCATCGCGTGGTTTCTAGGCATCAATCGCCAGATGATGTTCGTGAGGGGCCCTGCATGCATTCAATATGCTGGCAGGCCGTCCACATTGGGTAGTATAACTCGTCGTGTTGTTGTAGTTGGTAGTATGTTCCAAACCACCAGTCTTGTTTGCTCCAATATGATTTCCTCGCTCCCATAGCATAATTAACAATCTTGTTCCCTGAGGGAGATCATTCCGCCCGCCCATGTGCCAGGTGGACCTCGCATCCGCTTAACCAGACAAGGAAAATGAACTTTCCGCTCTTGGACAAGCGGTAGGGATAGGAAAGCTAGCAAAAGTCTCTTGTGCAAAAGGTTCTCAGAGAGAAACAACGCAACCCAATGAGAGTAACAGCAGCAGAAACAGACGATGCACAGTGATAAGAATAACTTCGACATGTGCAAGTCTTGGACATTTGGCGAATTAGGAAACATGGCGCGCGAGAATGTGGTGTCTCTCCTCTCCTTGCTGCTATTTTGTTGGCACACCGTCGTATTGTGAGCGGCTTGCAGATTTGGGGTGCTGGGGGGAACGACCTGGCCAATCATGCGGCCGTCTTAGCGGAGGTTGGTAAATGCGTCCCAAAATAGCTGCGGCCGCCTCTGGGTCGACTAACGTTAGGGAGGGTGGAGGTAGGTCAGGCTCCAAAGCGACCGACCATCCATTTTGCCCAGATTTCCCCCATCCCGGGTCCCTAGTCGACTCACGGGTTACACACTGCATATGTAGGCCTACGGGTACCTGTAGCTGTACCGATGGCATCTTCCGCTACATCGCTACGGCTCTATCGACACTTTGCCTATGAACCGTCGGTGTCGTCTCACAAATGGAGCGGTGAACTAGACACCGATTCCATGGCATGATACGCACAGAAGTTCGGGATTAGGAGCCGTTGACTGCAAGGTACCTCCCCCCCACGAATTACGAGGCCGGTACGTACGTCAACGTCACTGCCACTCGTGCCTTTGCTGTTATGTCCGCGGGCCAAAGTCCGCGGGCGAGCCGTTTCCCTGCTAGTTCAAGGAGGTGACAAACGATGATGCAAAGGTGCTGGGCATTTCATCGATCGAGAGTTTCCGCTACAGGTAGTGCGATGTGCCTAGCATCCTTAAGGGAGGGGCGGTACGCCGGTTAGTACATCGCCCAGCACTTTTGGACGCCAGTGGAAAAAGTGGCGGCCGACATTGTTTCCCACTGCTTCATCCCGTGGATGTCCTTTTTTTCTTTCCATCTTGAGCGGCAGACGATGGCGTGTACGCACGCAGGTAGGTACATGTAGCTTGGTGCGACCACCCAGGTCCGCTCGTGGGCCAAATTTAGCCACATTTGCACCAGTCCCCTCTGCCTCCCCACAGTCCATGAATTTATGCCCCTTAACCACCTTGGGACGCTTGGCGGAAATTTCTCTTCCGACCAAGACCCAAACCAACGCTTAGCACGTGGGGACGCCGACGAGTTATAATACCAAACTGGGTAAAAAACCAAATTGCCTGGGTCTGGCGGCCCCAAGGCGTGGCATGGGTCGTGAAAAAGAGTCTATGCAGTCTTCATTGACTTTTGGAATGAAGATTCGAGCACAGGTCACCAGGAGCTCTGGGTGGGTGTGTATCTGGTGGGCGCTGGTAGATGCGGGTGCGGGTGGTGCGGGTGTCCTGCTCGTACGCATATTCACCATTAGTATTAATAGCGTATCGCAATAAAACAAAATAAAATACGCAGTACGCAAACGGTATGCGACAGGGACGAAATGCTACCACGCTGTGTCTCTCTAACCTTGGCCACGCTTTTCTCGTCCTCCTGTCAATTAGTCCATTTTACGAGCCCTGTCCTCACAAGAGGACTAATTAGGTCCATCGTTACGTATTGGGCGATTTATCCCCATTTTAGCACAGAGGCATGGGGCTTGCTGGTGGTGGGTAGTGGGCGGTGCAACACACACTGCAGCCGCAGCATGAGTTAAAAATGGGCAAAATTAGCATCATTAGAACGAGTGGAACCAGCCTTTTTTGCCTATTTTCTCTGGTGCATCAGAGCCCAAATCAAGACATTATTAGCCCACATGCAGTTCGAGGCAGTACGTACTATGTACTCACCTGCCTCTGTGCGACGTTTTTCTTGCCCAGCTAGGCAAATGCTCTTGGACCAATTAAAATCTGGTCGGTCAATGGGCGGCGGTGGAGTTTGGCCCCGTCGGGCTGCTTTACGAGCCTTGACGACAAGAGTTGGCGGCATGTCGAGGGGATTTGGAAATCCTGGCAAATTACCGATGGCAGAACAGAGGTCTCCGACACGACCAGGACTGGCGGCTTGGTTGAGAGAGGTTACTCCTGGTCTCCATTGCGTGCACATAGGCGGAGCGGGGGGGAAGTGAGGGAGGGTGGAGGGTGGTGATAGTTGCTAGCCTTGTGCACCCCAGACGTGGGACTGCGGACCTTCACACACCCCCTCCCAGGGTATCCAGCAGGGGGTGTGGCTTGGAGTCCGCCTCTGCAGCCTTGATAGAGATCTCCAGGCAGAGCATGTATGTAGATGCTATTATGTTGTAGCTGGCATCCACCCACACCCTGGTTGCTCAACCAGGTACATGTTGGCGGCGGCGTAGGGCAGGAAGGCTTTGCGTCTGTCTGGAGATAAATAAACCAGTCTTCCCATCCTCCACCCGCCTCTTTTCCATCTGCACGAACAACCCAGGAAAGGTATCTCATTGCTTATAACTATCTTCTACTTCACGCCCTCTGTCAAGCTCTCATTGCTTTGGTGCTTCAAGTCAATTCATTCATACCTTGCTCCCTCTCAGCCTACTACCTTGACCTCATCTTCTATGCTGGCCACTTACACCACCCGTCAGCAACCAACCTTCACAATGCCCATGTTCACCATGCCTCAGCATACGGCCCAGGCCACCTTCACAAGGACTTCTCCTCCTGCCCCCAGACAGTACTGTGGTCGCGGAACCAGCAGTGCCTTCAGCAGCTCAGCCAACCCCGATGAGGACTGGACCAAGATCTCCGATCTGGCCGAGCGCAGGAGAATTCAGAACAGGATTGCCCAGCGCAACTACCGTAAGCTTCAGACCCGATCGCCCGTCCTTGATAGTGGCGCAATTCGACTAACACAGGTTGTCCTCGTAGGCAAGAAGCTCAAGCGCCGCCTCGAAGACCTCGAGCGTCGCGCCGGCTCCCCAGACAGCACAGACTCGCAGAAGACCAACTCATCCACACCCGAGACCAAGCGCGCCGGCGTTAGCAAGGCGTCACTGAAGCAGGAGACCCCTCCTTCCAAGTCAATTCCCCAGATGCAGTTCACCCCTCCCATGGAGAGCAACGACGAGTTCTTCCTCCCTCCCACCTACGACAGCCGCGAGCGATCCCACACTCCTCCCATGTTCCCCTACTCCAACGCCACCTATCCTGCTCCTGACGACATCACTCTCATGGCTCCCTACGGCAGCTCCCAGTCCTACCAGCCCATTGTCACTGGCAGCGAGAGCTACCCCAGCTACATGGCTCCCACCACCACCACCATGGCCTCTACCATGCCACCCATGACACACTTCAGTGATGCTCTCAAGCGCGAGCCTTACTCGAGCGACAATGGCATTGCCAGCAGCGGCTACTCTTATCCCACCTACTACTCCGTCGTGGACATGAACAACAACGGATCCTACGCCCAGTCAAACCCTCATGTGAGTAGCATTTCAACAACGAAAACGCCTTAAATGCAACTCGTTAGACTGACTGGTGTATTCGCCCAGACTCCTCCTTTGACTCACTCCTACGACCACTCAGCTCCCTGCTCTGAGTCTGGGTATGAGTATCCCACCACACCCCTGTCCATGCCTGGATCGCCTGGCTTGGTGCAGCAGATGTAACAACCTACACAAAAAAAGGAAAGAAAACACACACACGAAGAAAGACGAACAAACTCTACTCCACTACCATTGACACCACTCTCATCAACATCATCATCATGTACACGCTCAAGGTCACATGAGCGCCACCTCGAACACGCCACCAAACATCTAAATGGGAGTTTCTCTTCTTCAGCGGGTCGCACAGGAAAATCAGCCGCACCCGCCCTTCTTTTTTTCTCTATTGTGCTTTACATTAATGGCTGTGGCTGGGATTACGAACTTATGAAGCATAGCGTTGCGGATATGGGATATTATTTTGACTGGATTGGGACTATTTTTCTTATTATTTTTCTTGTTTATTATATTTATTGTGGCCGGATCGAGCAATCTGCCGGGCAATTGGCGTTCTTGGAGGAGTCGCGGATGGGAACGGGGGGCCGGGAAGGCAATGAGGAACAAACAGGTCATGAGGGCAGTGGCAAGGCGACTGCGCCCACTGCGATGAGCATGGATGGCCTCGGCCAGAGTAACGCATGGAAACGGACGGGGCTCAAATAGATGGGAATTGGGAAACTGGTTTATTACTTTTTTAACGCTTTAACTGATTGGATATCCCCCGAAATATTATTGTCTAGACCTTATTCTTTCTGCTTCAAACTCTTTTGCACTTTTTTCCCACACCCAACCAAACTTCGTCTCGTGCCGCCTCCTTGCAACCCATTGGTGAGCCGATTAAGTGATGATAGGACCAGGCAGATCCTTGCTTGAAATTGGCCGAGACCAGCAACAGCCACAGCCCGACTTTTGCGCAGTGCAGCTTGGGCAGGGCAGGGGAGGCGGGGATATGTGGGACTTCAGCTCTCGGCACACGCTCGAGACAGTTCAAATGTGGTGCAGTGCAGCTTTTTCCCATGCCCGCTAGCTCAAGGACGCCGAACGACCAACAGAAACCTCACGAAGGGACCGTCTGGGAGAGCTCATTGGGCGCCTTTGAGGGGAGAAGGCCGGCAGGAAGGGTCGCACAAATGCCGTGCAACCCAGGAATGGAAGGGGTAGTAGGGTGACCACGTCATTCGACTCTGCACGCAAAAGTGTAGATTTGGCCATCAGGCAACTATCTGCTTTCTACAGAGCGGCAATGTCCATCTTTCTTGTTTTGGCCCGTGATGGGGGGGAGAGGTGGCCGGAGGGGCCAGGCGTGGTCGAATGAGAGGCCGTACCGACAGTCCCAGATGATCGGTTTGGTCGGGTTGCGTGTGGCCCGGAAGGTTGCCTTGCTGCATCTTCTCGGGCGCACCTTATACGAACCAGCTGGAGAGGCAACCAGGCTTGCATTTGCAGCTGGTCCGCAGGGCATGTTAGGTTAATGTCGGTGACTGGTCGCGTACTACTATGCGGCGGCCGGGTGCCGTATTCACGCTGGGCTCTCCCTTGCAATTGCACGTTCGGCAGCTCAGGCTAAAGGAGAATGGCATGTGCGAGTGCCGCAGTGTGCGCGCGTGCGCGAATGGAGAGACAGGTGGTGGGTTTGCTGGACCCCTACAATCCCGCCTTCTCGATCCTCCCCCTCCTTGAGATGAGTCTCTCCTCGGCCGGTGAGCGAGTGGCAGGCATTCGCACGAGCGAGAGCCTGAGGCGAGCCGTACGTGGAACATGCACATTGCTTGCCCTGTCCTTTCTGGGGTATGTTTCTTCCTTCCTTTTTTCCCCCTTCTCCATGTCGTATTACCGAACGCTGCGGATTTAAGAAATACGTCAGGGATTCTGGTCTCCTTGTCTGGAACCCATTGACGGCTTGTCTCTGCTCGCTCGGGAGCATCGGGGTCAAGGGGGGGAACTGGAGCAGAGGACCCAAGACTTCGCGGCCAGAGGAGCGCCTTGCATGTTGAGCGAGGTGGTGGGCAGAGAGGGGAATGGCTACCTGAGCTTTCGGCCCCCAAATGCCACCCAGGAGGGCCCTACGTATGGGGACAAGGGAACAGGAGATTTGGAGGGTTGCGTCGCCAGCCCAGCCGGCCACTTCTGATGTGCAATCGCATGCCGGTACGTGGGCGTATAGATTGGGGTCGCGGCTACATACTACATAAGGCACATCCTATTGCGCGCCCACCACATGCAATAGAGTCGTCGCAGCAGGGTTCATGAGGCTTGGGGAGGGGTGGAGGAGGGGGGTGGCATCAACTATCCGTCAGTCCCAGTGGAAGGGCTTCGCCTGCGGATGCACGAGCGGGAAGTGTCTCTGCAAGGTGCTCGGGACAAGAGTACGTTACGGGAAGGACAGGCAGCGAGGCTTCACTTCACTGCCAACGCGAGGGGCTGTTTATCCGCAATACGTACAATACATTCATGTAGGAGATATGAGCCTTGCTCGCATTGCCTGGGACGGGGCAATGACGAGCGCAGCGATTGGCCCGCTCGGTTGGTTGGGGGAAGGCCCCACCCCCTCCAGTCCACTTTGGGTAGATGCGAGATGCGTCGGAACGAGGGAACGAGGCGCAGATACATATTAGCCCGCCTGGAAATTGGGGATGCTACTTTGAGGAGGGGAGGGGAGGGGGTTGACTGCCGTGTGCTCAAACTATCGCGGCCTGTTGCGAGTTGGAGAGAGAGATTGCGGCAGAGGATCAACACGGCTGCCAGGACTCGTATTGCCCAAGGAAGTTGGCTTTCATGATGAACACGGCAACTAATTTGCGAGCTAAACACCCACCTACCTACATCGCGCTACACAAGGTACCTACTTCCAGAGCAGGCTAATGTGAAGGCACCAAGCAAGCCAAGTTAGAGCCAACAGGCAAGGTAGGCAAGTATGTACCGTGGGCCCAAAAGTCGGACATGCTGCAGGAGGTACCTGAGGTTGCGTCTAGGCACCTACAAGGCACAGACGAGGCGGCCCCCAAATTATGTCATTGCTGCGGCAGGTCTCAGCTCTCAACTCTGAACTCTCCGACGGAGTTTTGCCCCGACCCCACGCTGGCCTGTCACGTTCCCTCCTCAACACAGACCATTACCATACGGTCCATACCACACTCCAGCCTTACTCGAGCAGGAAGCCCGCGTGCGCAATGGCCGCATCCAACAGCAGCGCCTATCTAGACCTGTTCGGTGGCACCCAGTAAGTGCGCAGTCCTCGGTAGATGAAAGGAAGACGGAGAGAATCACATGCAGCTGTGGTCTGTTTTAGGTCCCTGTGCTGAAATTTCACCTTTGCTCTAATCTAGGAAGTGGGACGCTTCCGAATGGGTCACTTCAGATGATCGCGTTCGCGGTGGTTCCAGCGTCTCCCGCTTGGCCGTGTCCGACGACGGCCGAGCTGCGACATTCACCGGGCACCTGGACACGTCGACCCTGGGCGGTGCGGGCTTCGCTTCCCAGCGTACCCGGGGTACACTCCACCAGGACCTCTCGGCGTACGATGGACTGCTCATCACCGTGACGGGTGGTGACTCAAAGCGCTACGCTGTTACGCTCAAGGATGACATTCCCGGCCGCCGGGATGATGGCCGCGACCTCAGCGGTGTGAGCTGGGAGGCCGACTTTGCCCTCAGCAGCGGTGCTGGTGAGGGCACCAATGAGAGCTCACATGCCGACCAACAGACGGAAACGACGACGAGAGCGTCTGCGACAGACGGCCAGCAAGTGTATCTGCCGTGGGGACAGTTCAAGGCTACCTACAGGGGCAGGCCCAAGCCAGATGCAGAGCCACTGGATCTGACGGATGTCAAACGCTTTGGCATCATGATGCGCAGGTACGCTTCCTTTCCACACTTTCAGATTTATATCTTGCCCCTCCCCCTTGGCCTTCAAGATGGGCCTGTTAGGACGTTTCAAAGACAAACCATTGATGCACTCGTTCCTGGACCGCGTTCTGCGGCCTTGCACACGCCTCATTGGGTCTCTTTAGTTGGCAATTGCCGATAACACTCCCGGGTCTATGAGCGGTAGGCCTTGTCTCGTACTGCGGGACGGTGGTCTGCTCATTTCCGCTTAAGCTGCGTCTCTTGAAACATGGGGTACCAGGCCTTCGATCGTATACAGCGATATTTGATTGGTCAGAGTCCGAGGCTAATCTCTGCATTGGGCGCGCTTATTTAGCTTTTTCGACCAGCAACATGGAGACTTCAGCATAAGCATCTCTGCCATCGCGGCTACCAGGAGCTCCGGGGCCGAACACCTCAACAACAGGAGTGCGTTTGATGAAACTGAGGATGAAGACGACCAGGCAGCGCTTGAGAAGCGCGCACAGGGCACTCTAAACGAGAGCAAGACACCCAACCAGGAAGGAGATTCTGCAGGGTCGGCGACCTCGCCTCCAGTAGGGTGGAGGCGTGCATTCTGCGGCTTGCTCTAAGCCTTCCAGCGGCAATATTGGTTCCTTTGTCGATGCCCTTGTGTTTTTACCCTTTACATCATCGACTTGTTGGAATTGGGCAAGAAGGCGCGAGGAGGAGCGCTCAATGGGGCATGGATACGGGCAGCTGTCCGGAAGGGAGCTAGCAAGGGATGCGTGGTCCATTTCGAGAAAGATTCCCACGGACGATATCGAAGGGTGCTGCAGAGCCAAGATGTTGGGGACCGGCCCTGGGAACCCGTTCCATGCGTCCAGGGGGCTTCCATGGCGGGCGCTGGCAATTACAATGTACGTTTTATGTACAGGGACCGTTGCGGGCTAAGTGTACGATTGGATCCATGGTAGCATCCGACCCCTTCTTGATGGCCTTCCGTCCTAAGAATAAAGGGCCTGCAGGTGTCTTCAGCCTTGTTTTATTGGGCATGCTCTGTGAGCAATTCATGCATCACAACGGGACTTGCCGTTGAACAAAACGGCCGCCTGTGCAGAGGGCTGCAGCGACGTGCAGCAAGCTGTTAGGTGAGTGTATGTTAAGCCCCAAAGACCCCGCCACCTGCGCGGTATGTGTCGTACAGGCATGTCGTCGCACTTGTTTCCTCGTGATGTTGAGATTAGCGCAGGTCGGAAAAGAGTTGAGAGTACGAGTACGTAGGTGGTTTGGTAATCTCTCTTCTCTTGGGTGTCGATCCCTCGTGATGCATCATGCGGCCTGCAGGGAGCATCAGGTACCATGGCGGCCAAGGGGCATGGAGTCACAGCACATCACAGCAGTATGTACCTGCTGGAGGCCCCTAAAACTGTCCACCGACGGCCCTGTGGCCTTTCCCCTCTCAGGGCTTCAGGGCTCCACGGAATACCACGGAGTACCGTTGCGCCCAGCCCACCGGGCGGAACCCACCAGGCTGCAGCGTGCCAACGCTCGCTGCAAGCACCCCTAACCCCAGCCTGAGGACGTGCAATTGAAGCTTGTGGTGCGCCCCCTGTCGCACACCCGCACCAAGAGGGCCGGCCCCTAGGGCGACAGGGGGTTCGGACTCGGGAGGTCGGTGGCCGGTGGAGATGAGTTGCGACCTGGCAAATGCCGTCGCCGCCAGAGCAAGATAAGATGGGTCCGTTTTATTTGAAATTTGGTTTGCGATTGATTGTTGCGACAGCCTGGCGAAATAGGGCTAATTAACAGCCCTGTATTAATTATGCCACCTTGCACGGGATTGTGATGATCACATTGGAGATGCCGCACCCAAAACGGGTGTTCATTTTCTTTCTTTGGAGAATACTAATGCTACGTAGTAGGTACGCCGAAGTCCCCAAGGGATGTCTATACGCCGGCCAAAAATAAGAACTCTGTCTCACAGCGTGCGTCTCTCATTTCGCGCTTTCATGGTAAGGCAGCCAATGGCGGCGGCCATTATTTTTACCTGCTCGATCTCGGACATTGCTGCATCTGGATAGAACGGGACCATCAAAAGAGTATACTACGTATGCAGCCCGCGACCGAAAGTGGATATTGAGATTTCTTGGGCATGTATGTTTGATGCTACCTTGGCCAGCGAAAGCCCGCTACTGCAGAACGAAAGGTTTCTCGTCGCCCAACAGGAAGGGTGACCCCTTCTAGGCGCTGTGGACTAGTGGTTGAGGGTGGGAACAGATGGACAGTAGGACGGACGCTTCTCATGATTGGGATTTGCCCTGCTGGTGGAGGGGGGGAGGAGAGGCCAACCCAGGCGGAGGCCTTCTCTCGACTGGAGTCACTCATCGTTCTGCAGAAGGATTCGGCACATAATTGCAGAAAAGGGAAGGGAGTGCGAGTGGGTTGGTGATGGGCGTGCGAGACATCGGTGGGCGTCTTGCCTTGTCGTGGTTTTCTTTTGGTTCCCACCCTCTTTCTTTCTGATGTTTCTCTCGTTCTCCTCGTTCCCATCTCCCTCCCACCCCCGATAATCTCGATGGGCGGCCGCAGGCTGCAGGTGTGTGTGCTGTTACGTCCTGGATGGAGATCGTCGCGTGGCAGCGACATGAGTGAAGCGGTTGACCTTCAGGGGCTTTTTCTATTTTGATATTCACGTAGCAACCATCTCTCCCGTGCATGCCATGTTCAGGTCAGGCAACGCATGGCGGGAGAACCACCACGGTCGCAGGTGAAGCGAAGCGCGCAGGAACAGGAATAGAAACGGCGCTGCATAAGGTACGCGGTCATGGTTCTTGGTCATCATCTTATCACCACAACAGCCGACCCAAGCCCGATGCAACTACCGTGACTATTGCCCAAGAGGCAAGAGGGGGTGGACGGGGGGGGAGAGAGTGAAGGGGGTCGGACTGGCAGCGGCACAGAGCCTTGTGGAACACTTTGTCCTTGCCTGTGCCGCCGCCCTCTGGGACCGACCATCGAGCTGCACTCTGGGTTGGCTTCTGCGTCTCGGGCTTCTGTCTCTCAGCCCTCAGCCGCTGCGGTGCAACTGAACCAGTGGCTTTGGTCCTGTGCCAGCGCCATGCAGCCAAAGTGCAGCATCTTGAGGCCGATCGGTATTCTGGGCAAAATAAACGTAACCACTCGGGACCGAGGCGTGGAGCCTCACCGACGGGGCCGACACCCATCTCGAGAGTAAATCAGTCAGAGTAGAGTCTCAACACGCCCCCATCCAATATACCTGAGAAAGAGACATTCGTCTAAAGAGAAAGCGTGCACTGTTCGTCCAGAGTCTGTGCGGAATGCCGGCACTTCAAAGCGGCTTGGGAGCCCGCCCTTGCCATTCGCGATCCCGGTCTGGCTTGTTTCGCTTTTCGACAGGATGTGCGCGGACTTCCGCGCAACCTTGAACCTGGGAATTGAAGCCTTGCGCTCTTCTCACGTTTCGGCCCCCCATCCCCTGGGAACTCGTGGAATGCGCACAGAAGGTGGAAATTACTCCATTCAGGGCAAATCCCTCCTGCCTAATCCTGTCCCTGCTGGTGAATTACCAAACCACGTGCCCCATGATACACCTTCTCTTCTTCTTTCCCCCACGAATCCCAGATTGATGTTCCCCTGCTAGGCCCGTGGCAAGTGTGATTTGCGATCCTACGGCATTTGAAAGGTCTTGGCCGCTGTTTTCGGGCAATTCGGACAACTCTATTTACCGCTGTTCCACGTTTGCCGCGAATCCCCTCTGACCGACTATGTCTCATCCTCGCTCGTTCCCCTGGCGTAGCGGGCGAGAGATATCGCAAAGCCCTTTTCCGCCTTGGGGGGCAAGTGGCGACGCCCCGGGAATTTGCTTTTTGCGTTCGGGAAATTTGGGAGGAATCGGGCAAAAGTTGAGCATGTGTCAAATTTTTTGGGGCCCCTTCGGTGATTGCCGCTTTCTGTACAGGATGCCTGGCACAGACAGACAAGCCATGTAGGTCATTTGTATGCACGTTCTGGTAGATCAGTCGCAGCCTGTTTTGGAGGAAATGCACACGCCCCTTCTCAGGGCCACAAGAATTAAAGACCTTGGTTGTCTTGTGTTCACCCTAGAGCGCTACGGAGGAGTGTTCTTGAAACATTGTGATGCCATGGGGGGGGGGTAATGCTGTCTTGATAGCCTCAAGTGCTCGGTCCCGAAGCCGTCTTGCAATGTCTTCCTGATTTTCATACCTATGCTGGTAATTAATCTATTTAGTGGATCGAAACTATCGGCTTGGGGGCCCTTTTCTGCGTGGCTGGCGTTGGACGTGCCGCTGTCTGCAGTTTTTAGTGTTGAGTAAGCACTCTGATCCAAGTTCCCCCATGGTTGATCGTGCAGAGATGGAGACGCTCTTGCAGGCCGCATCGTTCAGTCTGTCTACATCGTGGCTCTCATGTGGGTTGTGTTGCAAGTGACAGCTTCCTTATTTAGAAAATGCGTAGTGTCCCCTCGAGCCAGACGCAAGAGCATGGGTATCGTTGAAGTATCCCCATCTTGCGACAATTGCCCAAGATAGGGGAAAAGGGGCCAACGGTTCTGAAGTCTTTGTGCCGGAGAAGCTCGGCTTAGTCTTTCGGCACCGGCTGGACGGCTATTGAATTATACCCGCGTGTTGAAAACTCTTGCTACAGGAGAGATGTGATAGACGTGATGAATGCTGTGATATCAAGATTTGGCATACACCATATGGAGGTCCATATCCTGCCCCTGCCCACCTGAAAACAACACTAGCTTTATATTTAGATTCATTTGCAACTTGAAAAACGAGAATGTAATCGCTTTTATTGATATTTGGAGCAAGTTCAGTGATTATTTTGTGTAGTTGTGTCCGTCCTAGCTTTAGTAGAGTTCAAAGGAGTTGATCCTCTCTACCAAAATCCTCTTTGATTACCTCACATCTTCGTCCTTTGTGCACCTGCCAACCTCTCAGTTCTATAGTGACTCAAGAAGGTCTTCGAAACTAGAATCTGACCCTCGCTAAGCACCCTGGATATTCTCCGCTCGTCGCGACCCTTGAACCACCCTGAGCTAGACTTGACTCAGCTGACAAGATCAACGTTAACCCATCATGGCGCAAGGTAGGCAATTTGCTTCTGAATCCAGGAAGAATAGCGGAGAAAGCTGACCAATTTTTCTCTCAGGGAATCTACAAAAAGTCGAGATTCTCCAGGGCAGCTGCGTCGAGGCTGGCACGTCGACAGCAAAAATGGTCTATTTACCGCCAACCGAGGCACAGTATAATGAGATCCTCGCTAGACTCGACGAAATGACCTCCAGGGTTGAGAGGATAGAGAGCCGACTGGAGACTCGAATACAACGACATGAGGTTCGAATCCGACGCCTCGAGCGCGGCATAACATGGGCTATTCAACGAATCAAGTGGCTGTCGCAGTCGGTGACCGCGCTGGGAGAGATTGTCAGGACCAACTCCGGCACTCTTCTATCCTTTTTCAATCTTTCTCATGAGTCAACGTGACCACCGACCTGGAGCTTGGCCTTTTCTCTCATCTGGGTTTGGACGCACACTGGCGGATTAGCGACAAAGGGTGGCATCTTTGATGCGAGGGGCGCATTCCAGAGTTACTTTATTTCTTATTTTACGGTCGATATCAACGAAAAGTCATGTTCTTTGGGCGTTTAGGTTCAGTACAATGGTTTTGGTGGCTTTAAGCAGACTGACAAGATATGGAATCTGCAAGGTGTGAGGTGCCGTCGCCGGCTTTCTGATCAGGGCAAAGATTCATTCTAAGGGGCTATATCATCAATGGATGTATCAACAAACACACGTATAAACTCTGTCTATGAGTAACCTTGCCCTGATATGAACAAATTATGAAACAATAGAATCTGAAGTCATGAAAGTGAGAACATTGAATGGGCATGGGAAGACGAAACCGACCCATGCTTGGCTCTGATGAGACCATCGTAAGTATTTCCGTTTGGCAGGATTGTTTTTGGTCGATTTAGAGCGCTCAAAGCCAAGGCGTCAAATAAACAGACCATGTAAGCTTGTGAAATATACATGTTGATCTTGTGAAGAAGTAGGTGTTTGGATCGGTAGAGGGTAAAATCAACTGGCTCGGATCTTTTTCTCGTTTGATCATCCTTTTCATAACCACTCCTGCTCCCCTTGTAGCAGTGTAAGAAGTGATCGGCTGGGGCTGTATTTTTCTTTGCTTTCAAGTAATAGCTTCACGATAGCGTCTTGGCCAGTGTCTAAAGCAAGTGCCAGAGGTGAACGACCGTCATTATCCTCTGCTTCAATATCTGCCTTGTTGTTAAGCAATAGCTTAACAACAGCCTCATAGCAGTTAATTACAGCAAATAACAGAGGTGAACGGCCGTGTTTATCCCTCACTTCAGTATTAGCACCATTATCAAGCAATAGCTTAGTAACAGCCTCATTGCCATAGGATGCAGCAAATAACAGAGGTGAATAGCCGTCTTTGTCCTTTACTTCGATATTAGCACCATTATCAAGCAATAACTTAGTAACAGCCTCATAGCCATAGGCTGCAGCAAATAACAGAGGTGAACGGTCGTCTGTATCCTTTACTTCGGTATTGGCACCATGATCAAGCAATAGCTTAGTAACAACCTCATAGCCGTAGGATGCAGCACATGACAGCGCTGAATGGCCGTGTTCCTCCTTTGCTTCAATATCGGCCTTATTATCAAGCAATAGCTTAACAATAGCTTCATGGCCGTACCTTGCAGCAATCACAAGAGGTGAATAGCCGTATTCATCCTTTGCTTCAATATCGGCCTTATGATCAAGCAGTAATTTGACAACACCTTCGTGTGCCGCTTCAGCGGCGAATACAAGAGGAAGAACTCCTAATTGGCCCATAAGTTTCGTATCAGGACTATTCTGAAGTAAGATTTTCACAGCAGCTTGATGCCTTTGTTCTGTAAAAAATTCCTCAGTTAGGAAGAACCTGGGATTGGAATGTCTCTCGAGTAGGATGTGGATAAATGTTTGATATTTTAAACTAATGTCTGGCAACGGAACCGGGTCAGTATATCCATCTTGTTGATAATTTAGGATTGCGTCGAGAAGCTTGCTCGGGCTTCCAGCATAAGTTCTCGCATAAACCCAATAGAGCGGTGTCAACCATCCCACATCCCTTTCGCTCACGCCGAACATGTTTGACTGAAGGATAATATCGATCGGCCTTAGTTTTTGGTTATTCGCCGCTTGGTATAAAGCCATCTTCACAGTAGGAGCCATTGAATCCACGTTGAAACTGGGTTTGTTCAGAAATAACTTGACCGTTGATTCATCATCCTCAGCGGCGCCTTGATAAACGGATGAACACTCTCCACATCCTCCTCGTCTGAAGCAGTGTGTTCTTTATAGGATGGGCTTGCGCCGTCTTCTTGGGGATGAGATACTGGGGGAGTAATCTTCCCGTCACTCCATCTTCCGGTGGCAGTCGTGGAAGCGACAAGAGCCATTTTGTGGTGACTTTTTAAAATCTCCTGCCTCTTATTTATGCTCTTAAGACGTCCAACTATGCTCAACGTGTTTTCATCATCGTCTCCGAGTAGTTCTTTTGACAAGTCAAGCGCAGATTTGAGAGCCTCCGATGCCGATGTTAAATCTCCCATCTTATATGATGCTTGCCCTAGGCCTGTCAACTGAAGAAGCGATATACTTCTAGCTTTCTGTTCATCAACCATCAAGCAGGGCTTGGAAGTCTGCATCTCAAGGGCCATTTCAAAATACGCTCGGCCCTTTTCTGGGTCTCCTTCAAAGGTGTAAACCCAAGCAGCATGGTGAACAATAGTAGCGTAAAGACATTGAACCATCCTGAAATCCGGGTTCAATGTGATATCAGGTACGTATATATCTATTAGAGACAGGATAGATTTGAATGGTGCCAAGTATTTTGGGTCGATAACTGGGCCTTCAGTGAGGGTTCTTTTGGGTGTTCCAGTCAAGGGCAATGCCTCAAGTGACTCGCATATCTTTCCCGCCAAGTTATAGGAGACGAACACAATACAGTCTTGCTTCCAACGAATCATTCCTGTCTCAAGAAGCCACTGGCATATGATTCGATGAAGAAACAGGCTTTTAAGCTGACCATCTTCTTCTTTGATACGGACCAAACAGAAGCTTGCGAGGCGGCGAAGGGCAAGTCGAAGGAACCCACGGTCTTGAAGCAAATTGTGCAAGCTCTCCATCTCATCCGACACAAGGCTGTCTCCCTCATCCTTAGGCCTGCGAAAGGAGAAGCTTTCAATGAGAGAAATTGGAACCTGCCAGGACCCAAGAATAGCCATCATTGTAAGCAATGAAACGTATTTGATGTCGGGCCCAAGGGATTTGATAACCATATCAATAACTGTTATGATAACTCGACTTTTCTCGTACGCCCACATTCCTGTTTCTGGTCTGATGGACATGAGGTTTTTATAGTTTGTTTTATAGGAAGTAAGAAATTGAGAAAATGTGAATTCCCCGTTTGATATTAAGCCACCGGCTTGCTCGAGGGCTAGTGGAATGCCACTTAGCTCCTTTGTAATGGCCTTCGCCGCTGTTTTATCTAATAGAAGAATTAGTACCGCTAATGAAATTGCCCTGAAATCATTTTGACTTGCCTTCTTCACTTGAACTGGTTTGTTTGGAAGTCGTGTTTAGAAGGGACAGTGAACTGATCGTGTCTAGGCCTTCAACCTCGATAGGCTTTTCAGGCCTAAACCCAGAACAGCTCCGAAATGCTGTGCTAGTAACGATGACAGATCCAAAGTTACAAGAGGGAATATAGTCGGCGAAATGGTGATTCGGGTCATCGAGGCTATCGAGAACCAAGAGCCAATTCCGATGTCGCGTATTTAGGAGTCTCGACCGTATATAGGAGAGCGTATTAGAACTACCATTACTATGCATCGGAAGATCCGCTGGCCATTGCGTTGCAATCATGATAGAAGCTTCTTCAAGAGACTGGGCAGCAGTCTCCTTATTTGATACATTTATCCATATGATTGCCGTGTAGTCTGTTTTATATTGTTCAATATGTTGGAGAACAAGCTGAGTCTTGCCGGAACCGCCAATCCCGCACAGTAGAACGGCCTTGCGGCCTGGTTTAGATGGTTCAAGGCCATCTCTCACCTGCCCCAGCTCTTCACCACGGCCGTAAAAATAAGGGGACTTCTCGGGGAGGCCGGAGCAGACTGTGACTTGCAAGCCTTGCACTCCTTCATCTCCTTTCTCAGCGAGTTAGAGTCTATCCATAGTGACACATCAACCTTGATCTAATCACATACTTCTCATTGGCACAATCAGCCTCGCACATTTTTCTATCTCGGTTGAACGTTCCCTGAGATAAGCCTTAGTGACAGCCGAAATATGCTGCAAGGCTTCTTTGTCGCTCTCGTCTAGGGCAACTGACTCTAGCCCTCGATCAACATCGAACCGGTAGTAGATCTCATTCGCTCCTGCCTTCGTAAATCTATTCTATTGTTAGTTCTGCCAACTTGAATATTCCACCCACGTACCTGTTTGCAACCTCCAAGTGTACTTTGTGACAATCCGTAGCGATTTTCATGCAACTCTTTGCTGCTTCTATCGTCTTTATAGCTCCTGGCACGAAGCTGGATGCCAAGCTTGACTTTTTAAGCTTGATGGTAGGGCGGCCTGTACCAACACTGACAAAACATGCCACCCCATTTACAGCGTCCTGCATTGGGGCGATCCATTCTGAAGACTCCAATTCCGAGAGCGCAGCACCGCTAGGATTGTTTTTCCCAAACGCCCCGTCCACATATTCAACTCCGTTTATCATGATCGACGGGAAGAATGTCGTAGCGGCTGACGTGGCTCTACATGCGTCGACGATAGGACAGGCTTCGGTGTTGGCTCGGACCCCATATGTTCGAAAGAGATAATCGTTGATTGTGGTCTTGGAAACGGCGACAACCGCTACCTGAATGTTTCACATAAGCTACTAGAACTTATGCATTTAGGAACTCTAGACTTACAGGCACGTGGCCAGTGGAGGGGTATTCTTCGTCATACATGAGGCCGTGACCAGCTTGGGCTCGGATGGCCTCTCCGAGGCTTTCACCTGTATGTTTCGAACCTTTCAACACCAGGCGAGAACTCTTCAAGAGCGAACTCGACTCGAAAATGTCAGATCCAAGCTTCCTAAAGAGCTCCTCGCACTCGTCCAAGGTTTTGCCAAGCCGTCCCAGTAGCACTGCGAGCAGTCCACCGGTGCTCGTCCCACAAATGAAGTCGAAACATTGGTAGGGTTCCGGTGTGTAATCGAGGCCGTTGTGAATCCGAACTTGGAGCATAAGTTCCTTGAGAATGAGGATCTCGGACAGACCGCGGATACCTCCGCCGTCGAGGCATAGGACACGGGGCTTGGCCGCTTCTGCCGCCATATTACCACCTAGAGACAGTCCTTCTAGACCGAGTTAAAAAGAGGGACTCCGATAGCTGCTATTGAAGCAGCACGTTTTGATGTAGGCGTTGAGTGAGAAGGGGTACTCAGAACGACGAAAGCCTAGGCGTGGGCGAACGCCTGACTGTTCTCGGCATACCTGATACGACGTCACTGGTCTTGCTGCAGCCAATCGTTGTGTTTATTTACCGCCAACAGAAATGCACTTCAGAGCTGCGGCTGAAGAAGCGGCTTACATATTGCATGAGTACGTGCATGGTGAGGCGCCAATGCAACACACCATTTATAGCTAACTCCCTTAGGTACTTCTCTCTTCGCAAAAGTAGATTGGCTGGCTGGCTGGTTGGTTGGTTGAATTTATTTCAATTTTGTTTTTATTAAGTTGCCTATAGTATTGTTATCTACGTATTGATTTTACGATACAGATACATTCAAAATATGTGTGTGTTTTTGACAATGTAGAGAACAGGAAACTTTCATACTTGATGACTAAAAGTTATCCTGCATTGAATGACATTATCCATTGCTCTCTAGTTTCATCTTTGCAATATTCGAAGAGTTGCCGTGCCATCTGGGGACATGTGACATATGGAATGATGGATTCGCCGGTGAGCGGGTGCCGTACGTCGCCGTTTACCTTGCCTGTTTCGAGTAGTGTTTTTGCAATGTCCCATTTGCAGCCTAAGACGGCGAGTTGTAACGGGGACGTTTGTGAATTATCCTTACGGTCGGGTTCGATATCATCTCTTGAAGATAGTATACGAACAACATCGCTTTGACCCCAATCAACCGCAAAGTGCAGTGGAGTCTTCCCAGTGACATCTCTCGAATTGATGTTCACTTCACACCTCGTAAGCAATAGCTGCACAATGCCAACATGACCCATTTTAGCAGCGTACGACAGCGGTGTTCTTCTCCATAAGTCTACGGAGTCAGGATTGACATTTCCTATAGATAATAAGAGCTGTACAACCCCAGTGTGGCCGCCCTCCGCTGCATGGGATAGTGGAGTGCGTTCGAATCCGCCTTTCCAGTTGGGGTTTACCTTATTCGTTGCCAGCAAGGAAGAGACTATTGCCGTATGCCCGTTCATAGAAGCATACAGGAGTGGTGTCTGCCTCCATATATCGGGAGATTCCAGATCTAGCCCTTTGAGTTCTAGCAGATGCTTCAAAATCTGGACATCTCCGCAGATGGCTGCATACGATAGCGGCGTGCGACCATAATCGCATTGGGTGTCTGGTCTGGCCTTTCCTGTGGCGAGTAGCTGGTTGGCTACGGCCAGGTGCCCATTTTCAACAGCCTTCGATAAGGGGGTTGTTCTTTCGTAGTCTTCCTTATTAATGTCTGCCTCTCCTGTCGCAAGTAAGAGCTCAACCACGTTCTTATGGCCTATCATACATGCATGCCATAATGCAGTCCGCCCATTGATGTCTTTATGGTCAACGACAACACGGGGCTGTTCAAGAAGTAGCTGCAGAATATCTCCACGACCAGCTATAGCTGCAATAGACAGAGGCCTGAGGGATGCACTGTCCCGTGATCTACAGTCGGGACCTGCCACGGCCAAAACGTGTCGAAATAAATTCATATTGCCTATGCTTACAGCCCAATGGAGCGGCGTGCCAAACCTCCTGTGGCATCCCGGTGAGATGAACTCCCCGTCAAGTCTGATAATTTCCTTGAAGGGAACTTTTGCTTCTTCGTCAAGAAATATCTCAACGACACCGATGTTGCCCTCTTCAATAGCAGTAAATAAAGGATATGTACTACGATCTGAAGAGACGCAGAATGCGGAGTGTCCAGAGTTCCATGCCAAAATTAGTTTGGCAAGCTTTGGGCAGCCCAGCCTTGCAACAATGTTCATGAGGTTTGTGGAAGGATTTAAGCAGCAATAGGCTTTCGTCCGAAATAGGTTAAATTGAGCAACCCAAGACCGGGTGTTGAGTTCTCTCAAAAAAGCTGTTTGAGGAACCAAGGCTGCGGCATGTTCCGAATGATGAAAAAGGTAATCAGAGGCGTATCCGAGAAAAGGGAGCCTGCCCAAAACCTGTTGACGTAGTCTTTTCATTTTGATTGAGGATGTATACGGCAAAGTCTCCGGGATAGATTTGTCATGGGCCACATATGCGTGACAACATTGCCGTAAACGCTCGTGGCTGTGGATCTCGAAGCTGTCGGTCAGGTGAGGCCATATCGATTGAATTCCATTATCCTTGATAAGAAAGTCTCGGACTGATTCGTGAATGAAATTTACCGTCTCGGTCGTTCGATATGTTGTGACTTCAGCAAGTCCTTTGGATGAGCTTAGAACGTAGCGCTTCATGACTTCGGGCGTGATAATCTCGCTGTCCCACTCATCCACGGCCGCATCAGCCGGGAGAAGACCTGTGGCGAGCGCGAAGTAATATTCCGCACATGTTAGAGGTCGCTTCGCGAATGAGATCCATTGGATGCACAGGAGCATGTCATCCATATTTTCTCCATCTCTGCAAAGAATGTCCTTGAATAAGTCGCTGAGTTTGGGTGGTAATTCCTGGAGGCGCCTCTTCACTTGCAACAGTTGGCCGTTACGAAAGACGCCATTGAGAATATCGACAGCAAGGACTACCCACATGAAGATGCCCGCAGACTTGCGTAGGATCTCTTCGTATACCCATGTTGCTAATTTGCTGTTGCCAGCCCGTAATTTGCCGCGGACGTACTTGGCCAGGTCCTCGCTATGTTCGGTTTGTTCCTCAAGCGTGAACCGAATGCGGTTTTGGATGTCTATATGAGGGTAGGGTCGGCTAGAAAAGCATATATGCAGTTTCGTACTGTTTCGAAATGCATTGCTGCCGAGCGCCTCAAAATATTCAACCATATCACGAATTTCTTCGTCGTCGCATTCATCAAGTGCATCAATAAAGAGAGTCAAGCTGCGCGTTTCAAGCTCACCCACAACCTCGGACATAATTGTTTGAAGTGTCTCAACAGTCCACTCAAAGACACCACGGTGCCTATGAAGTTTTGAGGTGAACTTATCGAGAACATGCGTAAGTCCTGGAAAATGTTGGAATGTCTGGAATAGTAGGGATCGATACATGCCAATAGTTGATTTTTCCAGAGCTTCACCTCTCGCATTGAAGAAAAAGGCGACATTTGCACTGCTAGCCAGATTTTTGGAGGATTCAGTGGCATGATTATATGCAAACTTCATCAAGGTTGATTTGCCAGCGCCAGGCTTCCCAATAATCCAAAGAAAACCGTGATGCTGCGATAGCTGGTCTGGGTCCAACCAAGAATGGTAGTTTGAGTTGTAATGAAGCCATTGGCAGGTCTTTTCGTATGCAGATTTGATGTTTATATGTCTTGATTCGATCTGATGAAAATCCAATGATTCGAGTAGAGCATTGCGACATTCGTATAAAGACATGGGCACTGAAGGTTGTATTAGTATATTTATGGCCTTCGTTTCTGGAATACACAAACCGTCATTGGTAAAATAAGCCGAGCTAGGATATTTGCAAATCTGGTTTCCGGGAACCTCCAATAGAAGTTCCTTGGCATATGCAGCGGCTGTTGCAGCTGAGTAGCGTTGCCAATTTTTGGATTTGTGCGAATCGGCGTAGTCACAAATGCCACGGATGACAAGGCAAGGAAACCCATCCATCAGCCCTGCCGCTTCCATCTCCACGCAAATGATGCCGAGCTCCTCGGCTAGCTTGTCCCTTGTCTTGCTGTCTTTCACGACCGTATTTGACGATCCAACTTTCCCGTAATGGATGAGCGGAGTCGTATTAACCCTTATATCTCGGTCTCTTGTTTGAGAGGGGTCACAATGATCACAGCTGCCCTGAGAGTCGTGTATATACGTGCTATAGAACAAATAGTCGGGGTCGCCAGGTCGCGCGTAAGTACACATTGCAGGGTGACGCTGGATCATATCTGAAAGAAATGAGGGAATCCGAGTCGCTCTCGCCTCATGAGTAGCCTTAAGATTCGATGCAGCTGTGAGCAGCAGCTGAGGAGGCCGAGTAGGGGTGGCTGTCATCTTAAAATTGTTAGGCGACACTTGCTTGCCGAAGTCAAACTGAATCACTTCAGTACCGACAACAATATCACCGAGTCGGACATCTGCAGACGTAGTGGGAAGCCCTCCCCCGATACCGACCATCAATCTCTTGTCAATCGATGGGTAACTTCGACACATGTTAGCGGCAACTATTGCGGCATTGTTTGTACCGTAATGGTTCAAAGGCAGACAGGCCAGTACGATATTGTGAAGGCCGATATTGCCCAGAGTATAGGTATTGCTATCGCCTGGTAAGGGAGATAGAGGCTTGTGAACTCGGTCAAGCATAGATTGGGCGGCCGCAAGCTCTATCGGAAGAGCACAGATCCAGCCGACAGTATAATCTTTGTGCCGGAAGCCATCATCGAGGTCAGAGGAACTCAATCGCAATCGTTTTGCCTGGAGCGGGGATGGCTCTTCTATTTCAAGAGATCTTTTGCCGCCATGACCGCTCGCCATTTGGTCCTATGAATTATTCCGCATAGACCTCAGGGGCTGAGGATGTTGAGGAAGTAGGAGAGGTAATTGCCTGCGATGGATTCAGCCTCACGAGGTTGTTGGCCGCCTGAACGCACAGCCACTAAATACAGCCCAGTACATCATCTTCCATCTTGGTCTAGAAACTAGAATTTTGTTAGTTTATAATATCGGGCGATTTTCAACAAGGAGATATTTAATCTACTTTCCCAAATATTTCCTAATATTTGGACGATGAAGGTGAATTAGCTCTCTACCGAGCTCATCTGTTGGTTAGTCCCTAGACAGCCATGATCATCCGTGTCGTATGCATCTGTCTCTCTGTACAGAGCAGGGCACTCCTCTGTGCGTTGACACCTATGCAGTGGGCTCTCCCTTGACAGGGTCGCATTACGATGACTGCACCAATGAAACTCAACCAACCTGGGCCTCTTGGCGGAATTGTCGTCAGGTGGGAGAGGATACCGTGATATCGGCCCAAGACACGACGGACTTCTGGCACGATGACGGGCGATTATGGGGAGCATGGACAAACAACTCCATGGGTGAGACTCTAGAGACATATCTAATGCTCTCTTCGTCGGTGGAGCTATGCAAGGAGAACCGCGAGGTGCTACGTTGACTTCCCGCTGGGGCTCAATCACGTCATACAGAGTGACGGAGGGAGGTTCTTCGGTACAACCTTGCGGGATTGGGCAGCTTTCAATGGCAGTGGTGTCAGATAGATTATCCTACCAACGCTTCGAGAGTGCTGGTTGGCGTGTGCCGCTGCAGGAAGCTGAGGAACGAACGCACTGCTACCTTCACGGGCCAAGACCCAGCCCTAGAGGGAGAAAGAGGAAGGTCGCTTGACTATCAATGTTGCTGCGGATCAATTTGACAAATTTCGTGTCATTCAGGCCGTCCCGGGATGAATACAAGAGCCGCACAAGGCGTCAGAGGTAGTAAGGGTTAAGTTATCCTTACTTTAATTACAGTAATCATGATCGTCATTAGGGTCGAAACTGGCAGAAGGAGCGCCTCGATGTTAATAGGTTCCGCTACGATATTTACGGTTAAAAATAGTTGGGCGGCTGCACACCATTAAAAGAGCCGGAACTTAGCAGCTTGGCGGAGCCAGTGGCTTGGTTTCGGGGCGTTTACAGGCCTATCATGTTGCGCCTAGTGCCTGAAAGTCAAGCCTGTGCCTGAAGGTCAAGCCTGTGCCTGGAACAAAATTATAGGATCCCATCCTGCTGAATTCCTTCATCATCATCGCCGCCTCGTCTGTCTTGGATCGACGCAAGGAGGGAATGAGGGAGTACCCATGATTCTTACCACCATCTCACTGCGTCAAGCCGGCCCGCAGCTGCTGGACAGCAGTGCCACTACCAATGGCACCAGCTCCATGATGGACGTCAAGACCGAGTAGACTGAGCCGGAGTGGGGGACCTCCCGTCGAATCGAGCAACCACCTGCGACCCCGTGCTCATTTCACGCATCGCATCACGGCGAGGCATTGGTTGATCGGATCTCTGCCTTCTCCATCAGGAAGTCCCCCAGCACGACCAGGAAGGGATGCTCCCGACCTCACAACGGCATGGATCATGTTCCCTTGGGGTCCCGCTCTCCACTGTCAGTGACAGACCCCATGTTGCATCATGTTATTATCATGCCGTCCAGATCTAGACAGGAAGAATACTTAACGTGACGATGCTGCTCGCTGTTCCTCCGCTGTCTTTTTGTTTTGTTCTGAGTATCCCACGAGACCATCTGCCCTCCCCTGTCCACCACTAGACTGAATCCCGAATCCCCAAAAAGCCCATGTGCTTGCGCTAGGAGCCATGCGTTTCTCTTCCTTACTCACCACAGCCATGGGCGCGCTGATATCGACCGTCCGGGCAGCTCCCGCCAACAACCTGCAGCGCGCAGACGGCTCTCTTTCTCTAGTCGACGGTGAGACCAGATTTACTTTTGATTATGCCACGTCCGCGGCAGACGGCAAGAACTGGATCGGCATTTACCATGCCTCAGGCGGGGGTCCTGAGGACGAGGTCATGGTCAGCCCCTCTCTGAAATGGGGTTATGCGCCGGAATCCAAGGGCCGCCTCACCATCGACGCCTCTGGTCTTGATGCTGGCAAGTACAAGGCCTTCTTCCTCGAAAAGGACGGCTACAAGTGGCTTGCCAATCCCATTGAGATAACCATTGCCGGAACCAGCAAGGTCAGCTTCCTCACTGACAAGTACACCACCCACAACGCCCGCAATGGCGACAAGTTCGAGGCCAAGCTTGGGGGTCTACTGTCTTCAGAGAGTGTTGAAAGCAAGTTCGTCAAATCTTCCGGTCCCGGCTGGGTCAAGGTCTCTGACAGTGGTGTCGTCTCTGGCACCCCCGACAGCGACAAATCAGCGCACGTTACCATTGAGGCCTCTGGGAGTGATGGTTCCAAGGCGAAGCTCCAGATCACCATCCCCGTCCGAAAGGCTGGAAGCCCCCTTGTGGAGGAGCTCAGCGTGCTCTCCTACAACCTGTGGCACGGCGGCACCCAGGTGAATGACTACCACCGCAAGCAGATCCGATACTTTGCCAGCACCAATCCCGACATCATCACCTTGCAGGAGGTCAGTGGTGGACATGCCGTCCGACTGGCTGAGGCTCTGGGCTGGAATGTCTACCAGAGCGACGCCGCTGGAATCATCACCCGCTACCCAATCGCCGAGGTCTACGACGACTTTTCCCGTTCCAGCTCCGTCCGAGTCCTCCTCGATGGGGAGAAGAGCCAGGTTATTGTTCGAACCGCCCACCTGGGCTACGACCCGTACGGCCCTTACGACTTCTGCTTCGACCACATGACCGTCGACCAGGTCTTGAAGCGCGAGGCACAGTCCGGGCGCACCCCCCAGATTCTGGATATCGTGTCCAAGATCAAGAGCCAGATCGCCAACTCTGACAAGGTCCCTGTCATCCTGAGCGGCGACTTCAACGCACCATCCCACCTTGACTACACTGAGGCTGCCTCTGGCTTGCACTGCGGCGTCAAGGACGTTCCTTGGCCCACCTCGGTTGAGCCCACCAACGCCGGCCTCGTCGATTCGTACCGAGAGATTCACAAGGATCCCGCCGCCGACCCGGCCATCACCTGGTCTCCCATCTTCCTCGACAACAACGGCCGTCCCGAGCCCCTGGACCGCATCGACTTCATTTACCACAAGGGTCTCAAGACTCTCAAGTCCTTTATCGAGGTGGTCGGCAACCCGAAGGCCCAGCCCAACCACGCCGACAACGAGTGGACTTCTGACCATAAGAGTGTCAAGACCATCTTCCGAGTCCCCAAAGGCTCGCGTGGAGATGAGATTTAGAGACAGGATGAATGTGAATTTTCTATTTGAGAGTCGAGAAGCGGGGGGTGCATATGCTCAGTAATCTGAGCTACAGTCTCATTAGTTTATGCATAGTACAAGTTATGAATTGAAATGAAACCTTTTGCATTTTATTTTTCATCTTTCCTCAAAACAATTAGCTATGCCTCTAGGCCGTCTGATAAATCATGGGCCCTAATAGTGGCAAGTGAGTTCTGAATTTCTGATATTCGCCTCAAACTCTCAAATGAACTACGCAGTGGCAGGTGCCGAGGCCGATGATGCATATTGTAGAGGATGACTAAGAGCTGTCTATGGTGGGGTGAAGCCACCACCAAACGAATTAATTTTGATGGCGGGGCATTTTGATACTGTCGAAAAACGTATCCGCGGTCCAACGAGAAGATAGAACGAGGGGGATACAAAGAAAACGCGGGCAAAAATTGTACCCAGTGGTCAGAGGTGATAGCCGAGACGTCACGATGGGTAAATCGTCCAAAGACAAGCGGGACGCCTACTACAGGCTCGCAAAGGAGCAAGGATGGAGAGCCAGAAGCGCATTCAAGCTTCTACAGCTGGACGAAGGCAGGCTATACTCCCATCTTGACAGTCGCCCCGTAGGCCAATGGGTTTGGGGCGCCGACTTGTCGATTGACATGAGCTAACATGCCGATATAGAGTTCGATCTCTTCGCCAATGTCTCCCGTGTCGTCGATCTCTGCGCCGCGCCAGGAAGCTGGTCCCAGGTCCTTTCCCGAGTTCTTATCGAGGGCGAAAAGTTTGGCCGGGCGGCGTGGCAAGACAGGGAGGCTCGGATCCGCCAGCAGCTCCTCGGCGTGCTCTCGGAGGAGGGATTGAGCGAAGATCAGAAGAAGGATGTGGAGAGGGACCTGGCCAAGCAGCACGCCGAGTCGAAGCCTCGCGAGGACGTCAAGATCGTCTCGATCGATCTGCAGCCCATCTCGCCTCTTGCAGGCATCACGACCCTCCGTGCCGACATCACACACCCTGCCACCGTCCCGCTTCTGCTGTCGGCCCTCGATCCCTCCTACGACGCAACCAAGGCTGCCAATACCAACCAGAGCTCCAGCCCGGTTGACCTGGTCATTTGCGACGGTGCGCCCGATGTTACCGGTCTCCATGACCTCGATATCTACGTCCAGGCTCAGTTGCTGTTTGCCGCTCTGAACCTGGCCCTGTGTGTGCTCAAGCCCGGCGGTAAATTCGTGGCCAAGATCTTCCGGGCTAGAAATGTCGACATTCTCTACGCGCAGCTCAAGATCTTCTTCGAGAAGGTGGTTGTCGCAAAGCCAAGGAGCAGTCGGGCCAGCAGTATCGAAGCCTTCATCGTGTGCATCAACTTCAGACCTCCGCCGGGCTTCAGCGCAAGCCTCGAGGAGCCCCTGGGGGTGGGCGATCGCCTGGACAAGCTGCTTCTAGAGAGACAGAGGCAGAAGCCCATCGTAGCCAAGACTCTTCTGCAGGATCCCGCCAGGGGAACATGGGATTCGCTGCCGGTGGAGCCCTACGATGCGGGCGGCGAGGAGATCACAGAGGTGGAGGCCTTCGATGAGACTGGGGAAGATCTGGAGACGGCAGGAAAGCACACTCGCTGGATTGCCCCGTTCACTGCTTGTGGCG